CATTTTTTTTTTTTAGAGATAGAGTCGTGCTCTGTCATTCAGGCTGGAGTGCAGTGGTGTGATTACACCTCACCACAATATCCAGCTCTGGAGCTCTGGTGAGTCTCCTGCCTTGGCCTCCAAAAGCACTGGGGTTACAAGTGTGAGCCACCATGTCCCGCCTGGGAACAGATTCTCTTACCTGGCACATTACTGCCCAGAGCAAAATCGGGAGTCTTATTACTATAAGGAAGAGAAGAGATATTAGATGGAAATTCATAGACTATGTCTATTGATATAGTTGATGATTTTGTGGGAAATGTCATGCAACCATTAAGAGTATAATGAATGAGAGCTTTGCTTTGCCAACGGATTTTGGCTAGGTGTGTGGGGACTTCTACGGGATCATTAGGTGAGAAAAAGAAAATGTATAGAAATGATACAATAATTTCATTTTTGCATAACAGAGTACATACATGTATGTATATGATATTTAAGTATGTGAATACAGAAACATTTCAGAGGCATACAGAAGAGATTGTTAACGTGTTATCTCGGTAAGGGGAGAGGGAATGAATATCTTTGTGTTGTTCCACTTGTTATAAGAGGCATATGTTATTTTCATAATTTGGAAAACACAAAAAATTATTATTTTTTATTTTTTTGAGTAGGAGTCTCCCTCTGTCACCCAGGCTGGAATGCAGTGGCACGCTGCTCATGGCCACCACAGCCACTACCTGCTAGGCTCAGGTGATCCTTCCACCTCAGTCTTCCAAGTAGCTGGAACTACAGGTGCACGCTACCATGTCTGGCTGATTTTTAAAATTTATTGTAGAGACTGGGTCTCACCAAATCGCCCAGGCTGGTCTTGAACCTCTGAGCTCAGGCAATCTCTCACGTCAGCCTCCCAAAGTGGCAGGATTACAGGATTGAGCCACCATACCCAGCCCATAAAACATTATTTTATTTATTTATTGAGACAGGCTTTCACCCTGTTGCCCAGGCTGGAGTACAGTGGCATGATCTCAGCTCACTGCAGCCTCAAACCCTTGAGTTTAAGCAATCCTCCTGTCTTAGCCTCCTGAGTAGGCTGGGACTACAGGCATGCATCAATATGCCCTGCTAATTTATTTTTTATTTTTTTGTATAGGCAGGGGTCTCTACAGCCCAGGCTGGTGGAAGTCCTGGGCTCAGGCAATCCTCTTACCTTGGCCTCTTAAAGTGCTCAATGACAGGTGTGAGCCACCACACCAGGCCAAAAGCTTAATAATTATTTTTTAAAATGTGATACCCTCCACATCTAACCTTCATAATACCTTCTGACATACATGACACCTCACAGGAAGGCAGTCCATGATGAAGCCAATTCTAGGGGATCATAGTGAAGAATTTAATAGTACCTCAATGCAAGCAGTTTACCTGAGTTGTTTTAAAATATTTACTTAACTAAATTATTGATTTAGAAAGCATGTTAGCTAGATAACGTTTGAAAGAACATTGTATTCTTTTTGAGCTAATGAATGTTAAATGTTTATAAATATTTAAATATGAATATAAGGCAGAATAATATGACAATAGTTATATTAGTTGAAGTGTGTAAAATTTATGAAATAAAACACAATTATACCAACATTGATGAAATTTAAATATATATATTTATAAATTATATTTACTATCGTTATTTTTTTGTTAGGACCTCACTCTGTTAGCCAGGCTGCACAATCACGGCTTACTGAAGCCTAGACTTTCTAGGCTCAGACAATTCTTCCACCTCAACCTCCCAAGTAGCTGGGACTACACAGACGAAGTCTCATTATATTGCTCAGGTTAATGTCGACCTCCTGTGCTCAAACAAGCCTCCTACCTCAGCCTCCCTAAATGCTGGGATTACAGGCGTGAGCCACTGTACCTGCCTTATAAATTATATTTAATGCTTACCTATTTAATTCCATTTAGACCCTGAATCTTTCATGAAAATTTTCTATTTAGGAATTACTCACACCTTTCAAGAATAAATCATTTTCATGTCAACTTGGCTTCATCAAAATTTCATGAAGAAAAACTTTCAAAATCATGCACAAAAACATACTATTATAAAATTATATGTGATCCAGACATAATAAAATAAAGAGTATAAAAAAATAAAGAAAAATAAATCAATCTCCTCCCTACCCGAGCTGAATGCAAATGTTTATTTGGCATGGAAAATGTCCAATGTAGTGACCTGAGAACAAAGCTAACAGCTAGCAATGCTGTTATTAATGACTGTTGTTAATTATTATTTGTGCACTATAAGATAAAAAATGCAATGACTATTAAAGTTCTTAATAATAACATGGCAATTTTCAAAATAAAATTTCAGATTTAAACTTATATCCAAACAGTTCATCTAATACTGGCAATATTTGGCTTCTGCCTTGGTTGTGGTCAAATGTTGATTTTTCATTACTAGATCATTTGGCATCTGGACAAAAGTGTATTAAGTAGAACATTTAGTGAAAATATCCTAATGGCAGCCGGGCTCGGTGGCTCAGCCTGTAATCCCGCGCCTTTGGGAGGCTGAGGTGAGTGGATTGCCTGAGCCCGCGGGTTCGAGACCCGCCTGGACAGCGAGACCTCCTCTCTACAATAAATCAAAAAATCAGCCGGGTGTGGTAGCATATGCCTGTAATGGCTACTTGTAAGGCTGAGGTGGAAGGATCGCCGGAGCTCAGCAGGTCGAGGCTGCAGTGGCCAGGAGCGACCACTGCACTCCAGTCTGGGCAACAGAGTGAGACTCCAACTCAAAAAAAAAAGAAAAAAGAAAATATCCTATTGGATAAACAGTGGTGCTTTACTGCAAAAGGGCCTTCAGAAACACGATGGTAAGAATGACCTGGAGAGATTGTAACAAATGTCACTTCCCTTTTAATAGTATCCCTCTCCCTCAGTACTTGCTCTGAATCAGGAATGGGCATTTTAAACAAGCACAATAAGACCTTTTCTTGTACCAGGACCACGATGTTTTCTGAAACACTATTGTAACAGAAAACTGTTTTAAACTTGATAATCACCATTATGGGCTGTCTTCATGTTTTCATAATAAGGATAGGTGTGCAAGCTGGCACTTTCACATAAATAGAGCTTGAAAAAAGTTGTGCTGTAGTTTAGTAAATTAAAAAACTACAAACAAACAAACAAAAAACCCCTAAGATATGACTCAAATTCCTAGTGCTGCACTACATTTTTCTTAGCACTGAAAAGCAGACAAGGAGCTGGTAGGTAAATCTGTGAGACTATTAAAAAAAAAAAAACAGTTTTAACCGTTTTGCAAGGTTCAAGTGGTATCGTTTCCCTGTCTGTGGTAGGAGTACAGTTGAGATGGAGAGTTGGCATACAAGGATAAGAAGAGAATTCAAATTGAAAAGTAGTTAGCAGTTATACTCAAGGACCATGAATTCAACTCTACAATGACTTTTCAAGGCTTTCAATTCCTAAATTTATTTTCCACTAAATGAAAGCAGCCATCTAAGTGATGTGCTGGGACTCAGGTCAGGGCTAACTTTATAGATCTTAGTTCCAATTTCATAAGCTTATATATTGAAATAAAACCCCAAATGCAAACAATTCATTTCAATCACATTGTAAATCATTTTTTTGTGTTGGTTCTTTCAATCTTTAGCCAAAATCTGTCTGGGACAGATTCCAGGTCAAGACAAAAATCCCAAATCCCATACTCCCCATTCTTTGATTATTTTGCCTTGAATTGGAGTGGATACTCAGCAGTTAGCCGCTGGGAGCTCAAATGTTTTGATTCTCTCTCTTCATTAATCAAATTGACCAAATAACTTCTAAATTTTCAGTCAGCTTTTCCCTTCCCGTTACTAGCCTAGTGTGCAGTCTTCCAACATCAGAGACTATGGGCACAGAAAATGTCCTCAAGATGAGTCTAGATTGGCAATCAGATTGACAACGAGGAGACTGAACCCAGCCCTTCTGGGGAGCTGCTCAAGGTCAAAGGCTCAGCTTTGGGTCAGTGGCAGAACCAGGACTCATGTTCAGGGATTCTGATTCTTGGAAAAGGAAGTTCCCTCAGAGCTCTCTGTGTGAGTGATTTAGGATGGTTTTAGATTTGGAGAAGATGGTGGGACCCTTTGTTTGGCTCCTAAATAGGTTTAGTTCCTATGGGGGTGACAAAAGAAAAACTGTAGACAAATTAAACATAATTTAACTGAGCAAAGAAGGATAGATTTGGACTCCGGCGTAACCACGTGGTGATGTATGAACAGAGAAAGGAAAGTGCCCTGCAGAAAATAGAAGTGAGGCACTGAAATAGCCGCATTAGGTACAGCTCAGGGTTTGCTTTATCTGAACTAGGTTTGAACAGTTGGCCGCCTGTGATAGACCCAAACTTGGTGATTGGAACAAGAGTAGGTGACAACCTGTTGACACATCCAGTTAGGTAACAGTTCACTACGTTGGGAGAAACATCTAGGCAGAACTTACAACACGTGGAGGCGGGTTTGGGCTAAACTTAATTGAACAGGGGTGTAGCAATCACATGTGGCCTCAGGTGGGCAGCTGGGCTCCAGACACGAACCAGTCATTACCAGGGTCTCCTGCCGACTTCTGATGGGAAAGCCCAGGGCAACCCGCTGGCTACGAGCTGGCCCTTCCCTCCCCCTGGGAATTGAAATCACGTAAGATAGATCGCTTAGGACAGCGTCTGGGACACATTAAGGCTCAATACTGTCACTGATGAGGATGACACCCACAGGCATTCGGGCCGGTCACGTGCCTCTGAAACACAGGTAACCTCAGTAACCTGTAAGCTGGCACAGAGTGCGCATGTGCGCTCTTCAGTGGACTCGCGCCCCCCGGCGGCTTTCCCGCGCAAGCGCAAGCTCCGCCCCGAGGACCCGCCCACTTCAGCGCGGGCACCGCGGTCGGCAAAGCGCGTGCTCGCCTGCGCGTGGCGTAAGCCGGGGGACCGGCCCGGAAGACAGGGGCGTTTGCTTCCGGGGTCAGGGCGCTTTATTTCCGGGGGGAGCCGCGGGTGCGAGTACCGGGGCGTACGAGAGGTACCTGCTGCTGTGTCTGCTTTCAGTGGCTGCCTGGCCCGGCGGTCTCGGTCCCCAAGCCGAGTATGAAGATCACGAGGCAGAAACACGCCAAGAAGCATCTTGGCTTCTTCCGCAACAACTTCGGAGTCCGCGAGCCATACCAGATCCTGCTGGACGGCACCTTCTGCCAGGCGGCGCTGCGAGGCCGCATCCAGCTTCGCGAGCAGCTGCCCCGCTACCTCATGGCGGAGACGCAGCTGTGCACCACCAGGTGGGCCGGCGGGGCGGGGAGGCGCGGGGCCTGCGGGTGTGGTCGGGACGGGGTCGCTGCTTGCAGACCTCCGTTGGGAACCCACGCTGCGCGACACGCCCCGCCCACGAGGCGTAAGTCGCCTCGCCCGCGAGGTGCAAGACGCCGTTCCCACAAGGTGTAAGTCGCCCCCGCCCACGGGTCGCCACACGCCCCTCCTACGGGGTGTAAAGTGCCCCCCCACGCGTAGTTGACACATAGTGGGGCGCTCAGATGGTCTGGCGGATGCCTACAATGTAGGCAGAAAGGACAGTGCCCAGCCGGCATCACACATATTTAGCCGGCGGATAAGAACACGTGTTGTAGGCAGATCTGGCTTCAATTTTTGGTCCCGACCCTACCAGCTCTTTGATTTCGGGCAAGATACTTAACCTCTCAGAGGCCTGATGCCTCATTCTTAGAATAGAGGTCATAACCGCCTATAAAGTTGCTGTAAAGTCAAAGGAGTATGGTGAATGAGAGCATTTTTCAGAATTCAAAACCTTCCCTCATCAGTGGTTGCTGTTATTTGCATGACTTTTCCTAGTTGAATCCCGAAATTTTTAAGACTCACGGCTGCCTTTGAGTTAGCATCTTTGATTCCCAAGACAAGAAATAAGTTCATGAGATTATGGAATTTGCCCAAGGTCACTTAATTATTTAACTCGCCTCATTAAGTACCAAGCACTGCTCCAGCAACTGAGGACACTTGGGTGGACAAAACACATTCCTAGATCTTATGGGTGTAAAGTGCACAAGTCGATCTCCAATCCAAGTGTTTCACTCCAGGTCTCTTGTTTTCCATTTCGTCAAAGTGTGGGAACACTTAGGCTGTAACCTTGAAGGGTGGAATCGTGGAAGGTTTTGCAGAGCATGTGAGCTGTTCACCTCAGCCCTGAGGGGAAGGACTCTTTGAAACAGTGACATTCCTTGAACAACCAACTGAAGGGTGTGAAATATCTGGGGAGGGGGTTACAACGTAGATTTGGAAATGAAGCTAGGAAGAAGATACATTGCAGTTATTAAGTTTAGTAGTTTTTTTTCAATGGTGAATATTTCCTTTAAAAAAGCAAAAGAAGAAAACTTAAAAGCGTCCTAATACTACTACTCATGGGTCACCTCTGTAACAGTACTATAATCGTTCAATCAGTTCTTTACACACACAGGAGTGGGCTTTAACTTATGTATTCTGTGTTAATAGTCTGAGATAAGCAGGGCTAATAGATGAAGGGGGAGGGGTGAGGAGGAAAAGGTCAAATATTACTTCTATCTAGGGCTTCTGGGAAAATAATAATTTCAAATAGGTAACAAGTTTTGGAGGGAAAATTGGAGGCAGGAAGATAATGTGATTTTTAAGACATGATGAATTTGAAGAACTGGTGTCAGGTCCCCATAGGAAATAGATAATAAGTAGTCGGTAATACACAAAGTAAAGATCAAAACTAATGTATAAAGAAAGTAAATCTCATTTCTTTTTGTTTTTGTAGAGATGAGGTCTTGTTTTGTTGCCCAGGCTGGTCTCTAACTCCTGGCCTCCAGCGATCCTCCATCTATGGTCACTGGGATTACAGACGTGAGCCACTGCACCGAGACAAATCTCTTTTCTTAGGGGGGAAAAAACTAAACTAAAGAGGTAATAAAGGAGAATGAGGCAAGGAAGAATCTGGCAGAGGCTGCCTGAGATTGAAGAAATCTTGGATGCAATGGTTCTTGTAATATTTTTTTTTTTTTAAGTGGGAGGGAGGAAGTGCCTGAGGTTGTTTATCAAAATGCTCATATTTGGCTCTCCGACAAGATGCAGATTGTTGGATGAGACAGGAGCTAGAATTTCTTTTTTCTTGTTTGTTTTGAGGCAGTGTCTCAGTGTCATCCACACTGGAGTGCAGTGCACCATCATAGTTCCCTACAGCCTTGACATCCTGGGCTCAGATGACCCTTCCACCTCAGTCTCCTGAGTAGCTGGGAGAATAGGCATGTGCCACCACACCTGGCTTGGGTTTGTTTTTGTTTTTGTAGAGACAAGTTCTCACTGTGTTGCCCAGGTTGGTCTCAAACTCCTGTACTCAAGCAATCCTCCCACCTTGGCCTTCCAAAGTCTGGGAGCCACCATGCCCCTCTAGGAGCTAGAAATTAATTAATACAATTTAATATCATGTAATTCTGATATGAATAATTTATACATGAGACTTTGACATATTAATCTGAAAATGCAGAGTGAAAATAAGTTGTGATTGTTTTTAAACAACCTGATGATGTGGGAATTTTTACTTTTCTGAATTGAAAATATTTTGAAATTGTACCAATTTACATTTGAAGGCAAAGCTTTTTACACTGTGGTTGGGGCAAGGGATCAGTTGTCAAACTACCTGCATTCCTTCCTCGGTTCTACCACTTAATAGTTGTTTGAGCTTTGGCATGTTACTTGAAATCTCTCAGAATGCAGAACTCTAAAATAAGAATAATTTTAAGGTAAGCTACCTAGCTTCATAGGGTTATTTAGAGATTAAGCAAGTATTTATAGAAAGAGCAATTTGCATACTGCCTGGAACATAATAAGTGCTCAGGGAATTTTAACCATCATAGTTCTTTCTGCTTGGTACATGCATCTCCCAAGACTTCTTTTAAAAGTGAAATGGTAACCATGCCACAGATTCAGATTTTAATGTTGTAATTTTACATTAAGAAACAATTGAGGGCAACTCGCTTGGGTTCCCTCCTGCTCTGGGAGCTTTTCTGTTCTCTCAATAAATCCTGCTTTTAAAAAAAAGAAAGAAACGATTACAATTTATTTTTTCTGTTTGCTTTATGTAAACAACTGAAATGTTTTCTGTGGGGCACTAATTGTTATTATTTTTTCCAGATGTGTATTAAAGGAGTTGGAAACCTTGGGAAAAGATTTATATGGGGCAAAACTGATTGCACAAAAATGTCAGGTTCGAAATTGTCCTCATTTCAAGAATGCAGTGAGTGGATCAGAATGTCTGCTCTCCATGGTGGAAGAGGGAAATCCTCATCATTATTTTGTGGCAACACAGGTGATACAACTTTTCAAACGACAAATCAATTTTAACCACTTCTATTTTTGCTTCATATGGAACTACTTGTAATGAGACAATTAGGTGGTGAAGGGCTTAAATTACAGACACTGACACAAAATTATAAGTAACAAAGGAGAGGTTTATTAGCCAGATTCTGCCATGGCCGGTGACCACTTGCTGGATAACGAATTTTAAAGCAAGGGCGGCCAGCTGCAGCACAGGGCTGTTTTAAGTAGTTTAGACTTATATCCTGGTGAGCTAAAGATAGAACTTGGGACGTTCAGGGCTCTTATAGCATTATTCTGCTAGCATGGGTAAGCAAGCAAGTTTACAGAAGCAGATGTAGCCGATTATGCAGGTGCAGTGGATGAGGGTATTATTAATTTTGCAATGTTTTTAAAACAGTTTTTGGAATGATTAGACTTTTAAAATACAGACTTTTAAATTAATATGCAGTTAGTAAAAGCAATTGTCATTTGATAATTTGAGAAGACCATAACCATGTTAATTTTCTTCTTAGTTACTGAAGGTTTTTTTGGTTTGGTTTTTGTTTTTGAGACAAGGGTCTTGAATTCCTGGACTCAAGTGATCCAGCTTAGTCTCCTGAATAGCTGGAACTGCAGGTGTGTACCACCATGCCAGCAGAGGTTTCCTTTTTTAAAATGTGAAATTTTTGACATGAGATGTGGCTTGTAGCATTCTTGAAAGGAAAATAATAGAGAAGAGATCTTACATTTTATGTTTGTAAATGCTTTTTCATATTCCTATATATTATTTCTGAAAAAGTCATAATAGTGCATATTGTTTAAGATAGTACCAACAATATGGGATGTTCCAGGCTTTTGATGAAAACATTCCTATCTTCTCCTTGAGGCAGTAAAAGAGACTCTCAGGATTGATATTAAGAAGTTCACATACATACAGATTTGATTAAGCATATTTTCAGAACTATAAAATTACACAGAGGCAAAGCTGAATTTAGAATCCGAAACAGCTCCTTCATACTTAATTTGTTTACCTTCAACCTCCTTGATCATTCTTGACCATTTCCAAAGTATTAATTAGAGAGGAGACGGGAAGCCCATCTAACACATTTAGTTTTGCATTAGTTTGTAATTTGTGGTCCTAGAATATCAATAAATTCATTTCACACAGCTGCTACTTAAACTACTTGTGCTCAGTTTTATGTTTTTCTTTATTTATTATAAAATATACTCCCACTAGTGCGATGTATTCACTTGAAAAATAAAGGATGTGGTTTATTTTTAATATGCCCTCTTAAAATTCTTAAAAACCTAATTAGGACACCTTAATTGACATATTTGAACTAAATAATTATGTTTTTCTTTTTAATAGGATCAGAATTTGTCTGTGAAAGTAAAGAAGCAGCCTGGAGTTCCTCTCTTGTTTATTATTCAGAACACTATGGTCTTGGATAAACCTTCTTCCAAAACAATTGCGTTTGTTAAGTCGGTAGAGTCAGGTCAGCTTGTCTCAGTGCATGAGAAACAAAGTATCAAACAACTCAAAGAGGAACAGGGCTTAGTAAAAAACCCTGAGCAGAGAAGAACAAAAAAGCGCAAGAAAACAAGTGGCCCCAATCCTCTTAGTTGCTTGAAAAAAAAGAAAAAGGCACAGGGCACACAACCATCTGCTTCTGAAAAGAAAAGAAAAAGAAAAAGAATCCGGAACAGATCTACCTCAAAAGCACTTTCTGAGCAGCAGATTACAGAAGGATGAGAATCCTATGGATACTTTCAAAGACATTCAAATGCGAAAAGAGAGTTTATTTTTAAGCTATAGAAGTATTTATAATAAAAGACTAAACTTAACTTTTATAAGTGAATATTGACCCATATGCTTTTGCCAAAAATTATTTGTAAGATAAAAATAGTGGATGGGTTTAGGTGTGATATAGTGCTCACGTTCCTTACTTAGTGGTTTTGGGAGGTGGTTTTCAATGTAAAATTATTGTCTCCTGTCTCTTCCTCATATCCACCTTCCTTCAAACATATGTAAATAGCTTAAAAATCAAATGGTTCTAAAAAGCTGTGATAAAAAAGACAAAGTCCCTCTTTCACATTCACAGAGGAGACTTCCACTTTGAACTCTTCCAGTGGTGGTAGAATTTGCCTTTATATTTCCAAATTATATTATTAATAGTGCTACCTTTTGAGCCATCCATTGTTTATTGACTTTCTTGAAAGAATGAAAATTTTGCTCACTTACATTCACTGATTTTTCCAATGTGAATATTTTAATCTTTATGTATCACAGATTTAGTATTTTTGTTATTATGAGGAGGGTTGATTGATAATGTTCAGGGTTGTTCACTGCTGAACTGAGTAGTATGCTGTGATTGCATTTATTAACTGTTTTATAACTCCAGATGTAATAATGACCTCATTTTAGTGATTGACTACCTTGTTGCATTCTCCAATACATTTGTGAAGGACCTCACCATGTAATTTTCCATATGGCCCTGCCCAGCAGGTGATATCAGTTCATTTTTTTCTGGAAATACTTCTGGATTCCTCTGAAGTCCTCCAGTGTAAGAGGTTTTCTGCCCAGCATGTTGCCCGGCCATCAACTGGGCACTTCTTGCCTTGTCCAGATAATTTACTTTTGTCACTTTTTGCTGTAGGGGATCATACAGTGCTTAGGAAATACATTTTTTGAGCCTTCAGTGTCTCTATCCTCATGTTCGTTGCACTGACAGTCTAGCAAAGTAGAAGATTCTTGGTTGACAATCATTTTACATTGTATCCCTTAAGAACCCTTTGGTGGTTTACAATGTGCTGTGGAAAAAATTTTTTTTGACTTTTGTTAAGTCCCTTTTGTTCTATAAGGGTGATTATTTTCTTTAAGATGCAAATGTTCACTTCAGTAGCAAGAATTCTAAAGTAATATTCACTTTAAAGTTAATTATGAATATGTTGAGAAGTGTCTACACTAGCCAAAGGGTCAATTCAATGAACTGAATAATCAAACTCGTCTTAGCTCCTCCAATTGTATTATCAATCAGGCCAAAATTAAAAAGTTTTTGCATTATAAGACTGAAGTATAAAGTTGAAAAAGTGAAATTTTCCCAGTAGCTCCTGACTTGGAACTTCCTGTGACATCTTAGAGCAATGATTTTCAGTCTACCATTAGATTACCATGATCAGGAGAGTAGTACATCATGAATAAGTTCTTATTAATGGTTAAATGATGTTTCTAAAATGTGAGACAATTCAAATATTCTCAGTTCAATTCAGAGATGCTTTTGTGGTGGAAAGTGGAATTACAGCTTTACTCCAGGGAGTGACAATTATATGCAAGCCAAGGTAGTATTTAGATTGCAATTTCATGATTCTGCTTCAATAATTTATTATTGACAGGAATATTTTTAATAAAGAAGATGAAAAATACTAGTCATGTAGTTTCTGTGAGGAAAGATAACATTTGTCAATGACGAGTTGGGGTCACCTAATCAAATGCAGACAAAATGATAAAGCAGATGAGATGTATACTGAAAATACCCGTTTCAAGGTGCTAAAATGCATATATTTTAGGTATTCCTCTTGTTGATTTATACTTATTTGGTACCAATTGCCTGTTTGTTTGTTTGTTTTTAAAGTTGTATGGTACAATTCAGGATTAGAAATACAAATGAATATTGTAAAGTTTGTACCTTGCTTTGGGCCCCACTTTGTGGTGGCCTGTTAATAGTGTCTATGAATTGTAAAGCTGGAAAAATCCACTCATTTCTATGAAAGTAATTATTAAAGTGCTAAGAATTATACTGTATAGTAAATTACATTTAATATTTTAAAACTTTAGGCAGTGGCTCACGCCTGTAATCCGAGTACTTTGAGAGGTCAAGGGGGTAGGTTTGCTTGAGCCCAGGAGTTCAAGACCAGCCTAGGCAACATAACAAGACCTCATCTCTATAAAAGCAACAACCAACAAAATCCCCCAAACCACACTTTGATTAGTCATTTCTAAATTTTTCCAGTAAAATTGCAAGATATTTTAACAAGAGTCTCATATACTTGTACTATGATTCTTTAGCAAACACTACCCTTATGCCACCACCCCTAAAGTCCTCAATTATTTGCTTTATTTCTCCAACAATGTGAGGAGAGGAGCTGTTGGAGGATGCACAAGTGAATGTATCCATCTTGTGGTTTGGGAAAATATGTGAACCTCTGCCTTAGAGGGTAGCTAATAGCTCTGTTAGGGATAAAGTAGAGCATATGCACTTTTGAACTCTTGAGAATTTGCCAGAATGAAAAAAGGTGTTTCTGAAGACCACTTTCTTTCATGAACACTTAAAAATAAGTGTTTGCTCAATATTCTTCACATCTTTACAGTCCTAGAGTCAATTCTTATCCCTGAAAGTTATAAACTAAACCAGAAGTCATTTCAGAACCACTTTGAGTTTCAAAGGTAAGAAGATTTCATGCCTCTGCATCTAGGTAAAGCAAGGTGACTGTGATTTGACAGGTTTAATTAATAGTTTTTAATGGATGGGTAAGGTGAATACATTCTTTAAAGTGTTATAAAAACGTTTAATTGTACTATCACTTTTCTTAAGAATTTTTAGGTGTAAATGAAAAAAATAAGTTTGCTTACTATAACACACACACTTTACTCCCAACTAGTTTTACATCTTCAAGACAAATACAGTGCCAAAAAAAAAATGTATGCACATTTTAAGAGATGTAATCTATGTTACTTTTAGTTTGCTGTAATCAGAAGTGTCTGGACACTGATGGTAACCACTTTGAGCACTTTTTGGAATTGCAGAAGTCAAACGTGACGTATTCAACTTTTTATTGGTATATATTGAGTATTACAATTTTAGTTGTTTTTTTTCCTTTCTTAAAGCATTTATGCTTTTTTTGACACCTGTGTATGTGTGTGCATATATATACACACATATATATGCCATATATATATATGCACACACACACATATATATGTAATAGAGAATAAAGTCAAAGGATTAGGTATGTGGAAAACTGAAAATAAAGTCAAAAAATTAGTTGTGTGGACTAATCTTAGGAATTGATTTTCCATGTGATCTTCAATTGATGCCTCCAAATTCCTAATTGTACATCCTCACCAACCAGTTAAAAAACGTGTTCACCTATAACATGTATTTAGGAACTATATAGATTTACTACTATATAGTAAAGGATGGTAAACGTGAGTTATTTAAAAATCTTTGCTATTAGATGGCTTCATTCATGTTTCAAGACAAAGTTTATCAGTGACATTGGATATAAAACTACCTCAAGTAGTTCTTATATTTTTTAAGTCAGATCTTACTAAATCATTACTTTGCTTTATAATGTTGATGATAACGAATTAATACTAGGAGTGGGATGTGTCAATACACATGAAGGGGAACCCCTAAGCCCCCAGAATTTATATAAAATTATATATTCTTACATGTTTAAACTTATCACCTTCAAAGTACTCTCCATTTGATGCAATACCTATCATGATGCTTTTTCTACCTCTCAAAACAGTTTTTGAATTTGTCACTTTTGATGCTTTTTAGTGTTTCTGACATTTTTTGTTTTACTTCTTCCATATTGGCAAAACATTTCCCTTTGAGGATTTTTTTCATCTTGGGGAAAAAATGTCGCTTGGGGCAAGATCAGGTGAATAAAAAGGATGGAGTATGGAGGTTCACCATTTCGGGTCAAGAACTGCTGAACACTCAGCACGATGTGGGCAGGTGTGCTTGTAAATCATTCATCATGAGATGAACAAATGTGTTCAAAGAATCTCCAAAATAAAATTCACTGAAGGTGAACACAGTCTCACAACAACGCTAATTGGTACATGGATGCTGATGGGTTCCTAGAACACTTGCCTAGTTGGGGAAGCCTGTACTATAAGGGGCCCACCCTCCAAAAGATAATTGTTTTTTTGGGGGGGGGTCTTCCCTTGCATGTGTTGAATTAAAATAAGATCAGGTCTACCGCAAAGGAAAGTCATGGGTTCTCATCCAGTTTCCAGACCCAACACAGCTCACCGGTTCAGAGCCCCTTAACTTGAGGGAAGGCTGGGTGCTCTTGAGGAAGAACCCTAAAGCACTGCTGAAAGTATATACTGTACGTTTTCCTCAAAGCCTTCCCCAAAGGGACCTGTGGCCACTTTCTTTTTTCTTTTGAGCCGGAGTCTCACTCTGTCATCCAGGCTGGAGAGCAGTGGCACACTCACATCCACCCCCGTGTCGACCTGCTAGGCTCTGGCGATCCTTCCGCCTCAGCCTTCCAAGTAGCTGGAACTACAGGTACGTGCTACCATGCCCAGCTAATTTTTTATTTATTGTACAGACAAGGTCTCACCAAGTTGCCCAGACTGGTCGCAAACCCACGGGCTCAGGCAATCCACTTTCCTTGGCTTCCCAAAGTGCTGGGATTGCAGACTGGGCCACGGAGCCTGGCCCCTGTGGCCATTTTCTAAAGGGAATGTATCCTGGGAAATAGAAATACCTAGATTTTTTGGGGGTATTTCTGACTAATGGATGTTAATTAGTAGGGTCCTAAAATGCTACTGGACCATGATGTAAAGTGGAAGTTTATGGTGGTCAGGTGATAGATAAATTGAGTTATAGGTCAGGTTTGAATCCAGTGAGCCCACACTGTTTTTACCCCAGTTCCAGAATGTATAATTTTTAAAGACATCTTTGGCAACTTGTCACATTCCCATATTGGCTGTCTCTCATTTATGGGCTAAGGTCATTAGGGTAGCAAGTGTAGAGTGGGAGCTGTTGGAATTTCTCCCTCCTGCCAGGATGATAAATCCAAAGACTGGCCATCTACCATCATTAAATACTTGAATTAGGTACACGTGTTTATTCTTACTCCATCTCCACTTAGCACATCTATTGGGCCTGTGCAAAAGGCAGATGGGTCTTAAAACATGACTATGGATTATTTTAATGTTAACGGGGTGATTCATTTGCAGCAGCTTTCCCAGATGTAATGTCTTTGCTGGAACAAATAAGCACAACTCTTGGCACCTGACACAGAAAATGCTTTGCCCCTCCCTGGCCTCCACCTCCCCACCTATGCCCTTCTTCATTCTCTACTCCTTACCAATTTGCTAGGACCACCTGAAGAACCTTTCCTTGACAGGGTCAATAGCACCCGTCAGTCTTGCTTCATGTGTATGTCAGTTTACAGGCTCTCAGTCACAATACAGTCTGTAGAGATCTTGACCATCTTGATATCTGATGTAACATCACACTGGCCCACTACAGTGATTTATCTGTATGAAGACTAGTTGCATCATGTACGATGAAGCAGGGAGCTGATCATTGTAAAAAGTTTAAATACAGATGGGTGCATGTGGATGCTGAGTAGCCAAAGGGTTGGTCTGTGTCAGTCCCCAGCTCACCTTTCTATACTCTGCATCATGATCCTGGAGCTGGAACTCTGCAAACAACTCTTTCCTGGTGGCAGCTCCTTTTTGTTAGGTTCTGCCAATAAGGAGCACTAGAGGCAGGGCCTGGGAGGAGGACGGAGAAGGAAAGGACTTGCTTCTTCCTGTGAGCTAACTGCTTGCAGCTCTAGTGAGTGTCACATCTTCTCTTCTAGTAGTGACAGTTTCGCACCAAAGTGGTCCTCAAATCCAGTTTGCAGCACTTGCAGAACTAGCTGTATTTATTTATTTATTTTGAGTTGAGGTCTCGCTCTGCTTGAGTATAGTGGCCTCGACCTCCTGGGCTCAGGTGATTTCCTGCCTCAGTCTCCAGGTCCAGCTAATTTTTTTTTTTTTATTTTTTATTTTTTTGTGGAGACAAGGTCTTACTATGTTGCCCAGACTGCTTTCAAACTCCAGGGCTCAAGCAATCCTCCTGCCTTGGCCTCCCAAAGTGCTGAGATTACAGGCATGAGCCACCATGCCTGGCCAGAACCAGCTGTATTGCCTTAACCCACTTCTCCCCACCAGAGAACCAGTCTTCAGCATAGTTGGCTGGAGATGCTGGGGCCTGCCTCTAACCTAAGAGGTATTGGTATTAGTGGATTAGAGTCTACCTTCTCAGAGCTTTCAGTGCGTTTTTTTCAAGCTTTTACATTTAAAGAATTCTAACCTCTTTCTTTTTTTCCCCCTTGACCTAAGAAAGGTTATTTCCAGGTACCTTCCTACAGTTGGTACATCTAGAGTTCTTGATGTTCTTATTTTAGTTATTTAGTTACCTAGTTAACAACTTTGTACCAAATTAACATGTTTCTATTACATCTTCTCTGTTTTTATAACTGGTGTGTTCTTTCTCTTGAGTAGACCCTGACTGAATAGGATTCTAATTGGCCATGCCTACTTCATGTGTTCATTCTGGAGCTCTGGGTCAGGGGTCAGCACTACCTAAATTATATAGACTGAGATGGAATAAGGAAGAGTCTACCAAAGGGAACAGATGGGTTACTAATACAAAGAAAGTCAAGGAGGGAGCAGGCAGAATCACATCTAAGCAGGAAGTATACCTTTAAAGGTTACAAACCACTGTCTCAGAGAATTTACAAAATGGAAGGACAGTTTTGCAAATAATGTATCTGATAAAGGAGTTGTTTCTAGAATGTAGAAAAAACTATTATAAGTCAATAATGAAAAAACCCAACATTATGTCAAATTAAAATTTAAAAAGCAATTAAAATGGGCAGAAAAAGCCGGGCTCGGTGGCTCAGCCTGTAATCCCATGCCTTTGGGAGGCTGAGGTGAGTGGATTGCCTGAGCCCGTGGGTTCGAGACCCGCCTGGGCAACGAGACCTCATCTCCACA